CCCTCCCGCTGCTCGCGTCTCCTGCGAGCCCTCCCGCGAGCCCTCCCGCGAGCCTTCCCGCTGCTCGCGCCTCCCGCGAGCCTTCTCGCTGCTCGCGCCTCCCTCGAGCCTTCCCGCTGCTCGCGCCTCCCTCGAGCCCTCCCGCTGCTCGCGCCTCCCTCGAGGCCTCCCGCTGCTCGCGCCTTCCGCTCCCTTTCCCTCTGCCGCTGCCGTCGCTTGCTGCTGCTGCCGCCGTCGCTGTCGCCGCTCGCCATCAGGCTCAGTATACTCTTAATATTAAGTTTATTTGAATTTTGAAATGATTAATTTTCTGTTAATAGATTAATGATATATTATTTTGATTTTAATTTTGTTAATTTTTATTTATTTGAAATTATTGTTATAATTATATTATATATTTTTATAATTTAGATAATTTTAAATAATTATATTATATATTTTTATAATTATATTATATATTTTTATAATTTAGCGCCTCGCTTCGCTCGGGCGAGCGCCTAGCGCCTCGGGCGTTTGTGGACCTTGGCGCCTTTTTGCGCCTAGCGCTTTTTAAATCACTGGTGATACTGAATCTCATGGGAAATCTATTAATTGGAATGTTAATTGAAATCTATTAACTGGACTAGACTAGATGGAAACTCAGAACCTGGATTTTTCATCTGAACTTTTTCTATGCATTTGCAAATATGAATATCCAAACAACTTGATGCTTAGCAGACATACCATCTTTCTGAATGTATACAAACATTGCATGTGCCATTTTATGCATTATTTGAAATTAATCTTTTATTGTGTTGCTTCATGAAGACAAATTTGTTATATGAAACTTTGGATTTTTCTAAGAACACTAAGAATATATGGTTTTACTCTTCTGATGTGTCTTTTTCGTTTTCTATTTCTTGATTGGGGTGGGTATGGTAGTAACTGTTTCATGTGAATCATTGGTTTGCTTTTATCAGTTAGAGGAGTTTCGGAAGAAAAAAGCTGCTAAGCAAGTCGTATCTGCTGGCCAATTGCAGCAGTCATCTGATATAGGCCAATATGAAAATCCTTCTAAAAATAATCAGCTTAAGGGAGATGAGTATTCTTCAGGTGGAGATGGCACAGATGTTGCAACAACTTCCGGGATCATGATGCCCTATGAAGGTAAAGAAGGTGGTTCATCCCAAGACAGTGATGTTGATTCCTCAACTGGGATGTCTGTTACCTCAACTGCCTGGAACTATGACAATCATTCGTCACATGAAAATTCAATTCATGAAGCCCTTAAGAGCAGAGTCTCCAACTCAAACGAAAGCTCAACTTTTTCAGAATTAGCTAATGGTTATCATAATCACTGGGGAGAGAAAATTGAGCATAGTGGTAATGAGGAACCAAAGGTTGGATCAGCTGCTGGTTTTAGTATAGATCAGCATATTGCTTTTGTTCCAGATATCACAAAGCCATGTATTGATGGGAACGTCAGCAATTCAGGTTTACAATTGCACAACAATAACAAAAATTCTTCCAGAAGTCACATGCAAATTATGGATGTGCCAAGTGCTTATAATATGGGAACTATTCCTGAGAAATCAGAAAGTCATTCTGCAAGGAAAACATTGGGTCGTCTTAGCAAATCAACCAACATATATGATGGTAACAGCTTCCAACTTCTGTCAAGCTTTTTAAACTAGCATTTTGCTACTAATGAATTTAATATACAAGAGTTAAGTTCTTAACAAAACAAGTGTCTGTTCATGCAGTGAAGCAACCTTTTCAAAGCAGTAATGTAGAAAATCATGGTACCGTTGGTGTGGGAGGGAGGATAGCTGATGCCATTAATCGTCACCTTAATGTTGAAAATTCAACCTGGATTGCACCAGAACCTTCGTCTGCAGGCTTTAGTTCTGGTTTTGGAAATTCTTCTAGTGATTTTACAGGTTATAAGACTACTTTTAGTCGATCCCGTCCATTTTTTCTTGATTCACTTGGTCTTCCCAGAGTTCCTTCTAACATTCTGCATGGCGAGCCTGATAGCACTGTTACACCACTGCCATATGACAGTTCGAAGTTCCAGAAAACAGAGGTTCAGTTGGCATCTTCTCTGCTGCAGCCATCTGCAGATAGCTTCACGGAACAGTCTCTCAGCTTAACAACTCTTGATTCCTTTAAAGAAAATCAATTATCTCTCAACACTTCGGCTTCTTTGAATGAGGAACAACATCTGAAGCAGGGAGCAAGAGAACAAGATATGCCAAGGGACCATGAGTTTCCATATTTGAATAAAGATGCAGATTTTGCTGCTCTGGAGCAGGTTATTTGTTATTTGTTTTTCATTTAAATTGATATACTATGTTTGCTATTGCTTTCTTTGTACCATGTTGGAGTAACATTTTGCAGGTCTTAAACTCATCATATGCAGTAATACTTGAACATAATAATTTTTTTGTGGTGTACCTTACCTGCTTCTTACTTTATCTTTTGCAATGTGATGGCTTATTAACTGACTCAAGTTGCTTGCAGATTTTCCAGTTAAGATCCTTCTGTTATTTTTCTTTTGAAATTTTTACTAGTATTTACAGATGAATTGCCACCATCATGAAATTTATTTTTCTTCACTTCTCTGTTCGTAGTTTGTCTAAGAGTCACTTTCTGAACAGTTGTATTGTCAAATTTTCAGCATATTGAGGATTTGACTACAGAAAAGTTTTCATTGCAACATGCTTTAGAGACAGCCCAAGGTCTAGCAGGGTCCTTAGCTTCTGAGAATTCATCAATAACAGACAGCTTTAATCAACAGGTGTGATCTTTGACTGTGAATAATATCTTTATATGATAATGTAATGCAAATGACATTTATCGTTGCAAGTCTGTCACTTGTTTTCTCAGGGGAAAGTTATTAATCAGTTAAAATCTGACATGGAAAGATTGCAGGAGGAGATTAAGGCTCAAATGGTTAGTTCCTTTTTTGGCCTATGGTGTAAGTCTGTGCTGCATCCTTTTCTTTTCCATTTCAGCATAGTGTTAACAAGTGGATTTCTTATGTGATACTTTTACTGTTGACAAACAATTTATTTTTAGTAGTTTAAACAAACTTCTTGGATTTAGATTTAAGAGTTGATTTTGAGTGGGCTGTTCTCAGAGTCAGTTATATTGTGAATAATTGAGTAGACATTTTATGTATATCTCCCTAATTATGAGTTTGAGTTGAGAGAGATTGGACCTATTTGCAGTTCCAGATGCCATAATGAACCTAGCTGTGACCAGGATACATTTTAGTTCATCTATTAATATGTGACAAACCTTTGCATAGCATGTAATTATTTGGGAACTGGGATATTGGTAATAAATGACATGAAATGAACTATCTGTTGGAAATATAAGTATATATTTCAATATTTCCAATTTTTGGTTGTCTGCACTGATAAAAACCATTCATGTGACTGCTTACTATTTCATGGGTTCTATGATGTGTTATTCATTCACATGATTATCTACTTGAATGTTAACAGCTTGCACTTGAATCTGTTAAGTTGGAGTATGCAAATGCTCAGCTAAACTGCAATGCTGCCGATGAAAGAGCCAAAATACTTGCATCTGAAGTGATAAGCTTAGAAGAGAAGGTAGTTAATTTTTAACTTCATTATTTATGATTTAAGAGTTCATGGTATTAATCTGAGAGTTCTTAATCAAGACAACATTGTTTAGATCTTTGCAGGAAAAAGTAACTTGTCTTATTGTGTATTATGTTTCTACAGTTGTTTCTTTTTAACTTTTTTCCTAATAAAATAAGGTAGGCTGCGATTGTGGTTATATAATTTAAATATGATTGTAATTGCTTTGAGTCAAACTGACATGGTTGAGTATATTTGTCTATTAGTTTATCTAACGTGAATTCTTTTCTATATTTTTTTAAAAAATATGATGTATGGTGCTGTACAATCCATTCATCAACATCCTCTATGTAATTTGGATTTTTTTGTTGGACTAGGTTCCACAAGAGCTCTAAAGAATAAAGATCATAAGAATTTCAAACAACTTTTAACATGAACAGGATATGGTGCGTCTTTTTTTGTAGGTTATATAATTTTTTGTTAACAAATGTCAAAATGTTAGTTTAGTGGTTGTTAGGAACAATTTTCTTGAAGGGATTTGTGACATGTAGGAGTGCAATATGCATGGCATATTAAGGTATAATTACAAAAATCAAACAAAATAAAGATAAAAAGATAATATATGCAGTCAAGTAAAAAACCAATTGCATGGTATTTATATTAATTATGAAGTTATTTAAGTGATAAGTTATAAGGTCAACATTAAATTGTCATTGACTACGTTTTGTACATTTAGGACAACATAATGGTAGAAACATGAACAATAAGAAGGAACCATAAACCATATTTGTGATCTTAATTTCATGCTATGCAAACTGCACATGTGCTCCCTTTGGTATATGTGGTTGCATTCTCATGTATTATGAAGAGAGATAGAGGAAGATTGAAAAGACTGTAATAGAAACGATAAATAAATATTTAAATACTCTTTACATATGGTTTTCTTACAAACCTAAATGGTGGCAAAAGATACATAATATAGCCGATTACTTTTGACCCAAGTAAATGGGATTTTACGGTTTTGTTGTTGTTGTTATATATATGGATGTCCCTGCATATGTCAATATTGAGATTGCAAAATGCCCGATATAAATCATATGATGACATATGTTCATGTAGCTGCATGTATGGCCGTATTTGACTGTAGTTTAGAACATTGGTCAGGAATGATATAGATTTTTTCTTTTTCCCTTGTGAGTATCCATGATGTTGTAAGTTCACTCCACTGATTGTGGAAATGTTGCTATTTGGATATAAAGAGAAACATGCAGTTATTATGCAGCTCTTTTAAACAAATTAACACTCGACAAGGTTGCCTTCCCATTTGCCTTTGCCTTTGCACGCTAGGTAGACGACTATGACGGTTGGGTCTCTTTAGTTCCTTTCTTATGGCTCAAACAGTCAAATTGATCATTTGAAATAGGATAATCTCAGCCCTTGATTGGTAATGATTGGATTTTGATTGTTATCGATCGACATAGATCCCCTATTGCTCGATACGGGGTCATGTTACATGTATCGCCCGGTATAGGGCGATCCACATATAGGTCCCTTATCGGATCAGTACATATCGCTCGTATTGGGTGGTACACCTCGGTACGACGAACCTTGGTTGAAAGAAAGTCTTAAAATGACTTTGTTACATGGGGTTTCTGTGGTTAGTAAAACATGAGTATACCAATCTCTAGCCATTTTGGTCCATAGTAATTAATACAGTATGTCATTGGCCCAATGATGATCGACCTTGGCTAATCATTTTTTCAAGTGTGTTGTTACTCCCTTATCATGGCATGAGACCTTTTGTTGATACATACATGATGCAGTAGACTTTTGTACGATGAATACAACATTCCTTGCCTGCAGGATTTTTGGTGGCCTTTGCTCACAAATCCAAGGAGCTAACATATTAGGACTCATGGCATCCTTGCCAATCATGTTCCTTGTGGTGTATGTTCATACTAGGATGCCTCCGTCTTTTCCCATCTTTGTTTCTTTTCTTTACCCTTGTCTTCTCTATCTTCCTTCAAGGAGGCATGTGTAATGGTAGTCTACAGGGGATAACATTTTTGGACAGTGAACTTCATGCTCTATAGGGTTAAGTGAACAATCAAGTTAAAGATTAGAATTTACATTTTGGTTTGACTTCGATCAATTAGTTGTTGATAGAAGTCAAATCTTTTATTTTTATGATGACAATTGTTATGTGAAAGGAATAAATTTGTGCAATTTTCACATCTGCATTGTCGCACAAAGGAATAAAGTTCATGTTACTTCTCCTCTGCCATATATTATTGCGTGAAAGAAGCACACACCATTTCTCTGCTGTTGTGTTGTTGCAGGAACAGAGAGGATGTGCTTCTAACATTTTAAAACTTTTTTCTAGTTTTATGTGTGTCCCATGAATAAGCCATATCAATTATAATTTATGGGCTTAAGGTTTCCACCATATTTCTTTAGCTTTAAGTCTAGAAAATCAATGACCTAGTGACTTACATTTGCTTTGATTTCTAGTATGTTGTACATTGGCTGAAATTAAAAATATTCAATTTTGTTGCACAAATTAGCTTTAAAGGGTTTAACAGGCATTACACAACTGTGCATCCTCTAGTCAAGAATGATGCAATTCCTAATGAACAAATGTAAAAGTTTTATAACATTGGTTTCTGTGAAATTTTACATCCATTGTCCCTAGTGTTCATATTCTAACACAACTTCCCATGTCATCTATTTTCCTTTTTCTCTTACAATTATTTTGGTATTTATCCATTTATCTTTTGTTCCACTTATCAGTCATTGATGTCAACTCATTACATCAACATAAACATTAAACAGGCACTGCGATTGAGGTCAAATGAGCTAAAGCTAGAAAAGCAACTAGAGAAGCTGAATTCTGAGATGACATCATATAAGTAAGTTCAGCATTTTTTTATTTTTTTATTATTGCTGATTATTGATTTCATAATCAAATTTTGATTCACTAGTATCTTGGAATAGATGTGAAAAATCAGTTTACAAAGGCATATTTATATTCCTGATGCTTAAATCTCTTGTGTTCCTCTAAATCAAGTATGAGTTTGGACAAGTGTAATTAGGTTCCTGACATCTAAAATTTGGTGTGTGATTTCTGTTCAAACATGTTGCTTCACAATATATACCTACTTTAAAAACATTTCAAGTGATAGTCATTGCAAGGTGACAATTAAATATTATGGTCTACTATGGCAACTAGTTAATTCATGTCTTGTTTATGGATATTCATTTGTTTTACACTATAGTTGTGCTCAATAATTATGGTAACTCATGTTCATCTTTCCCCCTACTATGAATTTTGTGTTATTGATTTTATTTGATTTTTTTGTCATTTCCATATTTTGTACAGTCTGTGTAATGATTATTGTTTAGTTTGAATTTTTACTATTTTGGATAAAATATTTCTGCAAGATTTTTTCTGAACATTTGTTTTCACAAAATTACGGCTAAATCACTTGTTCCATTAACTAACACTCGTTGTTTAGCAACTTGCTTATGGTTAATATTCCAAAGTCAAGATCTGTAAAACAATAAATTAAATCATGAATTGTTTTTGTATATTAGATTGACAATATTCTGGTTGTGACCATAATTAATAGCACTTTAGGGCAACCTTCATATAAAATTAATGTAGTTAATCAGTCACAGGAGATATTCATGCACTGTTTAGAGGTGTTAGTTTTGATCTTTCATTTTCTTTTTAAACCTTCAATTTGGGATTGCTAATTAATTTTTTTTTCACTATATTGTAAAACATATTTCATCAAACAATATGAATATATTGATGTTTGCACTTGTATTTTTTTGTAGTTGTTTCACATGTAAGAAAATTAGGTGCTTGTTTTTGTATCTTTGATCCCTGGACTTAATTTGGGACTTTTGCATAATATTAAGTTATTAACTTATAGGATTGTTGAATAAAAGACTCATTATTTCTTTTGTCTGTAATCAAAAGATGTCAAAGGTGTTTCTGCAGAATGCATGAAAGTTATGTAAGTTATAATATACTTTTCTTAATGCATTTGGTGTGTTAAATCTATGAAAGAGCAACCAAAATTTTTTGGCTTGTTAATCGGGACATTTGGTTTCACATCAGGGCACTATGAGCTACCTTTCTCCCCAAAAAGGAGAAGAAAAAAGACTGATGATTGAAGATTGTTTCTAATTTAACTTCTGAATCTGCCTGATATATTGACTTTTCACGACCATATTGGTGCAATTTGTGGCTTTTGAGTATTCATTAATCTACACAGGCGTAAAGTATCGATTCTAGAGAAAGAGCGCCAAGATTTCCAGTCTACTGTTGATGCCCTACAAGAAGGTATGATTTCCTTCATCTATATAGTCTGAAGTTTACTGCTGACTTTCTTTGGATAGTTCCTTCATTTCTAGTGGTGTCAATGTTCATTCAGACAGATGGGTCTTGACTGATCCAGCCTGTATTTACCTATCTAAGATGATCTGTCGGGTACATGAGATAGGTTATGGTCAAGGATTTTAAACCATCTGTGGGTTGGGTTTGGTCGAGCATATGTTATCTTGATAATAAGGTTCAACCTGAACTGACCCTACCAACTTGGATGTATAAAATATGTCTTTACTTGTAAAACCAATCTGACCTAACCTTTTCAACCTTAACTGCCCTACTGTTGTCAGAGGTCTGGGTCAACCTATTAGCAGGTCAGTTTAGGTTTGGTTCAGCTTATGGTTACCGACCATTGCATGTCAACTCGATCGGCCCTTTGACTCCCCTATCCTTTGCTCTATGCACTGTAGCCCATCTGAATTTTAATCAAATCACTGAGATCACTGTCCTTTTCTGTATGCACTGTAGCCTATCCAAGATGATCTGTGGGGTACTGTCAGGCGGCGGTAGTGTGTGGATGACCTGATCGAGTGACAGTACGGGCTTGCAAGCAGGGCTTGTGACTGCTTGCAAGCCCTAAACCCTATGTTTTATTGAAAATAAATATTCGAACTGGACCACTGAAACAGGGGCATCCCATTTGGTGGTTGGACCAGTAAATACCAGCCGAATCGTATCAAACTGATTGGTTTTACATTTCTTGATCAGTGCTGCTCTTGATGGTGGAGTTACATAATAAATAAAAGAATAAACAAATTATGCACCAAATCTTCACCCTTCAACATGAACCTTCATTATTAATATATATTTTTTCATTATTAATATTCAATATTGGGCTTCTCATGGTCTTATTCTTGTGCATCGCTTCATGCTTAATATAGGATATAAAAAGTTGGGCCTTCTTTGACAGTTGATATAGAGATTTGGTGCTTGTCTGTTGCCACATATTTTTTTAGATATTGTATTAGTTACATATTTATGTTATCCTTAATTTTGATCTTTGCCTATATTATTGCTGTTTTGTTAATTTACGTAGCTTGTTTTCATGCAATCTCTTACTCAAACTCATTATGTTAAATGAAATCTTACTATTATTTTACTTGCATTAAACAGAGAAGAAAGCATTGCAGTCTAAGCTACGAAAAACATCAACTGATGGAAGAACCAAGGGTGTAATAGAAAATTCTTCCATTAAACAAGATGCATCTACATCCACAGATGATTTAGGTATGTATATTGTGCTTTCTCCATGTCGTCCATTGCCTATGGTTAAATATTGGGTTATTTCTTGGGATATAATCTGTCTCATGAAAACATGTGTGGCTCTCAATACGTCTCGGTTTCTTGGATGACCAGTGAACTATTCAATCTAACGTAAAATCCAGTAATCAACTAGCTGGGATAATTTTTGATTAAATGTAGATACTCCTACATTGGATATGGATATGTTTGATTAAAGGATGACAAAGCAATAAATAAGTACAGTGTGTAATTTATGGATATGTTTTTACTTCTTACAAACTTGATTCTGACTTTCATATTTTACCTTCACAACTTTAATGACTCTGCTTCTCAAGGTGGACTAGCTATATGCTGTTCTCATGAAGATGCTTAAACCACAGATATTATGTTTAAGGGTTTTTTTGTGTGTATGTGGCAGATGCTGGAAGCAGATTTTCGATATAGTGAAGTAAACGAAATGACCTGTGAAATTAGTCTTTGTGGCTTATCAGAAGTGTTAAACTAAAACAAGATCTGATTACGATATTTTATGAACTTATGTTCTGCTTTTCAGTCACATAAGTTGCACATAGATGTTCTTCATCAGCATCCGATTTTGTCCTCCAGATGTCAAAGATGGAGAGACCAGCGCAGAAGGAACTGTGCTTCATAGTGGCATAAATTCAGTGCAAGATGTCAGACCATCTGTAGCTCTATCCAATTGCACATCTCAATCCTCTTTCGTTCTTAGTGATAGAAGAGTGGATCTTCCAGATGCTTACGGTGATCTTCCAGAAGACCAGCTCAGAATGATTGAGAACATTAAGGCTTTGATATCTGAGGTTGCACTTTTTAAATTATTCTTCTTAAGCCTTCTACTTTTGTTTTTAAATCACTGCAAATGGTGAAAACCCAAATCTGTGTAATCTTCAATACATTCTCTTATCTTATATACTAAGTGGTGTTCATTGTAAAATTACAGTTATCAGTGGAGAAAGAAGAGTTGGTACAAGCACTGAGAATTGAGTCATCTAATTGTTCCAAGCTGAAGGTACTGATAACTACTTCTGACTTGTAAAATTCACGACAAATGTAGTTAGTTTTGCAATAAGGTACTGAACTGAAACAGTACGGTAGCATGTTTTGAGTATGACAACAAATATTGTCAACTTATATTCTCACAATGCTGCTGTGATTGTTCGTGGAACTTTAGAAGCATGCTCATGCAAATGTATTTGGATTGCTATTTGTCTATGGTCCTAATGATGGTGGCTATGAGAAAATGGTGGGAAGATAGGCCCTGCATGCAAAATGATCCTATCTAATGGCTTTCAGTGGAGATCACTCATTTGGTGGAAGGAGCATAATTCCTTGAGCAAGCATCAACCCTTGGACTATCTGATTATTCTGATCATGCTTGTTTGCATTTAGTTGGTTATATATGAAGCCTTTGTTTCCAGCATTACATGTTAACTGATGATTGTTATTTTGTGTTTAACTTAAAGTGATATGCTGGTTAAGAATGAATGCATTTACTAGGATTGTAACTTTTCTTGTATTTTTCTAGCTCAGTGATATCAATCTGTTCCTATCTATCCATTCATGGTTATATTCTTTGGGATACCTAAGACATCTTTTTCATATGAAAATTAAATTTTCAAAAAAAAGAATCTCTAAAAACTGCTTGTAGATGTCTTAATTCCAGATGATCATTGCCAGATTCACTAGACTGTAATATAAATGAGAATTTGTTTAACCCTAAATAATCTGTTTATGAAACCAGTGTAGAAAGAAAGCCTTATTGGATAGGGTGAAATCAGGACAGTTGCTTTCGGATTGTAAATTGGAACATTTGCTTTTTAAGGAATTTCTGAAGTTTGTCCACCTTTTATGTCAGCGGTTGTTTGAGACATATGCCTTTGGAAGAAAGTGCTGCATGGTAAACCTTGTTAAACAAGATTAAGGAAAGATGAAAAAATTTATTTTTATAAATTATTTAATGAATATTCCACACAAGACTTAGATTTAATGATAAATAATAGTGATAGATTTAATAATCATAGATTTGTTTGTAAAATTAGAACCAATGAAGTAACAGATACATTAAAGAAGAAGGAAATAACTAAGAGTATAGGGCCTGATGGTATCCCTATTGAGATTTAGAAAAATTTAGGGGACAAGGGAGTAGCTTATTTAACTAGTTTATTTAGCAAAATTATGAGAGTTTTTTATATCAATTTATAAAAATAAGGGTGATATGTAAAATTTTTCAAATTAGAAAGGAATTAAATTCATGGGTCATAGTATATAACTTTGGAAAGAGTCATCGAAAGTAAGATAAGGCTTAAAACAAATATCTCTAAAAATCAATTTGATTTTATACCTGGAAGATCAATCATAAATGTTATTTATTTATTAAGACAATTAATGAAAAAGTATAAGGGGAAAAAGAAAGACTTATATAATTTTTATTGACTTAGAGAAAGCCTATGATAGGAAATCTAGAGATTTATTATGGTGGGTTTTAGAAAAGAAAAGTATATCCACTAATTATATCGATATTATCAAAGATACATGGTACTATAGCTACTAGTGTTGAAACTATAAGGAGTATGCTTAGTGAGTTTCTTATTAGCATACGATTACATCAAGGATCTGCATTAAGTCCCTACCTTTTCAAATTGATAATGAATGAACTTACTAGTTACTTGCATGATACGTTTTCTTGATGTATATTATTTAGCAAATGAAAGCCTACGTGGAATTAATTGAAAACTTGAGCTATGGAGGCAAGCCTTAGAAATTAAAGGTTTTAGATTAAGGACTAAAACCAGACAGGAGAATATATAAAATACAATTTTAGTGATTATAGAAATAAATAGAAGAATATAGTTAAATTAGATGGACAAAAAGTTCGTTTAAGTAAAATCTTTATGTATCTTGGGTCAACTTTTCAGCAAGATAGAGAGATCGATGAAGATATTATTCATAGAGTAAAAATAGGATGCTTATAATGGTGAGGGGCATTAGGAGTCTTATGTGATCATCATCGGATATTTTTGATATTAAAAAAAACTTTAATAAAACGGTTATGAGACCAATAATAATTTGTGGATCTGAGTGTTGGGTAGTGAAGAAATTACATATACAATAAGTTTGTGTTGTCGAGATGAAACTATTGAGATGGATGTGTGGAGTTTCTAGGAAAGATAGAAAAAAATACTTTTATTCATAAATAACTAGGTATCGTTTCGATAGGGGATAAGATGAGAGAAAATTGTTCAAGATGGTATGAGCTCGTGCTTAGGAGACTTCCGGATGCAGTATCCAAAAGAGGTGAAATGATTAATATTAATGGTACAATGAGAGGTAGTTAAATACTCTGTATTTAACTAAACATATGGTTTTTTACGTAACTCAATGACGATAAAAGATTCATGTAGCCGACCTCAAATAGTTGGGACTTCAATTTTGTTGTTGTTGTTGTATTATTTACTCTTGAGAAATTAAAATGGTTTTCAATCTCAAATTGAGAGAGACAACAATGTCTGCTTTGTTTCCTAATCTGAGTATAACTATCAATTATTGTTTCCTCTTCGGTGATCTTTTGTTTCTGTTAATTTCTACCAGAACAGCTTTGTCAAGCTTCTATAACTTCAAAATTTTCTAAACTTGCATTATTGATTAGCTGCATTCATCATGAAAAGATGAATTTCATCATTGACTATGTGGAGTGTCTGATACGAAATAGTTGCCCTTTTTCTTGCTTTCCAATGATTAATGTTACTTCTCTTCTTTCTTTGCCTGACTACTCAAGGATTTGAACAAAGATTTGTCCCAGAAACTTGAGGGTCAAACCCAGAGGTTAGAGCTCTTGACCACCCAGAGAATGGCAGATGAGAATGTTGTGGCAAGACCAATTGATACTCGTAGCACGCATGATACAACAGAATATGCTGATGAGGGTGATGAGGTATGACAGTTACCTGATGTTGTTTCCTTCATGCAGCGGTTTCATAGAATATAGAAGTTTGTGCTAGCATCAGTTTAATGCTAAAGATGACCATCATGCTTTATTAACTATTAAGGTAGCTCTTCAAGCTCAATCTAATATCTGCTGGCAACATATAGTCAATAAACATCAAATCGAAATCAAATTGTTCGATAAATTACAGTTTGATTTCATGCTAATTGCTTTTCTCATTGATAATTGATGTTTAGTGACTTTAAAACCTAAACTATGTCTTCCCTATTTCTGTTAACATTTTATATCTTATATTGTTGTCGTTCTTTTAGGTGGTTGAAAAAGTATTGGGTTGGATAATGAAGCTCTTCCCTGTTGGGCCGAAGCGACGCAACAGCAAGCTTCTGTGATGGGGAGGGAGGACAGCAAAATTGCAAGACCGTCTTTTTGGCTCTCCAAACTGATGTTACTTCTGGTTATATATTGAGGTCTCCAAAAAGTGTACATGGGCCGTTAGTTGTAGCCATTCTGTTTTTTGCACAGAAAATAGGAAATAGGTGTTTCTTCTTCTGTAGATTATATGCATGGAAAAGTGCATTGGTCGCGGAGAGAATAAACAGTAGAAGCCCCCCACATTCTTTTTCGGCATTCTGTTTGGGCTCTCTTTGGTGGTTGAGAGGTGGGAGGGGGGTGATATATGTAAGAAGAAACTGTTGTATTAGCTGTCGTTCCATCTTCTTCCAATTTCTGAATTTTGTTTTGAGGCGAGTCTTCTTTTGACCCACAACCGAGGCTGCATTGTTAGTGTATCTGATACTATAAGAAATTAACTTTTACATCAACAGAATTCGTGGGAACTGGACAACGCCTGGTGCTCCACGCCCTGTTATCCTTTGCTTTTGGAGGTTGTGGATTAAAATCTTTGGTTCGGATTATTAGATGCAGACTTGCACGTTATATTTGTGATGTTGCTAATGTTCTTGCGTCAATGTAGCAGGGATTAATATGAAAAGAATCAATCTACGCAATCTTACTCGAGTTGTTCATAACAATTAATTATACTGTCATATCTTCTGCATCTAGAACTGGTATTACCCTGGAAGAATTCCCACTAACACGATCCAAAGCCCCAGGTCAAGTTTCTGACCTTGACCTGTGAGAGAGGCCAAAAAATAAATGGGGGAGGGGGTAATCTTTCAAGCCATTGCTGCCTGACCTCTGCAGAGAAGGGGGCTGGAACGAGTCACCCCAAAATTTGTGTTTGTCCCCTTTCAACACAGTCAACCTTGGCGTCTGTAGGTCAAGATTTTGTCCTGCCCTTTTCGAGTGACTGGCAATGGGGCTGACCAGGCTGTGTCAGTCAGTGTTCATACCAAAGCCGATAAGGCAACATTATACCACCACAAATCCTGCTTCCTGCTCGAGTATATATACACACAGCTCAACTTCTCATATTCACGCCATCATTTAATCTAAAAGTTTGGTCTCCACTTGTCCTGCAGCGTCGACATACAAAATGCTGCTGAATTTGACGGTCAGATCCATGTGGACGTCAGAGTGGGAAAGCAAGAACTACTTGCATCTTCGATTCAAGTACTTGTAAGGCCAAAATGCTGCTGGGTTATGCTTCTTCTTAGCCGTTTTGTCTTTTTTGCCCAACACATCATAGATTAGCACTCATCAGATTGTATCCCAACACTTGCATTCTCATTGACCACATCAATCTTTCATCTTTGTGCGCTGGGAAGAACCAAATCTCTTCTTGATGTCCTTTGCTAGCCTAAATCTGCCGATGGGAGGCCACCTAATTCCATACATAAATAGTTATCAGATCATCAAGTAATTTGCCCAAGTGGGAACGAATGATGAGCAATTCTGGTCAAAACAACCTCATCCAAGGTGAGGTCTCTTTTGACCTTGGCCTGCATTTGGTCATGCAAGTCATGAATAATACATGCATGGTACTCTTTTTGGTGAGCCTACAGCATCAGCTAAAATTCCAAATTCTGAACCTGTGCATGCAGAGCACAGTCTTTGTGTTGCATCCTGCTATGATTGATTGGTCATGCGATTGTGTCGACCTTTTAAGTCTCAGCAGCTTCATCCTCAAGGTGAGAAACATGCAACCAGTTAGGGTGTCAAATGTCATACACACACACACACAAAAAAAAAAAAAGTGTTGGTCCATGTGTCACTGTTGGGATTTAGCTGGTGATGGAAACTGATGGTAAGACCTAGTCCGCATATTGATCCTATCTCTATATTCCTTGTTCTAATCATGTCACAGAAGGCATCTTGCTTTCTGCCCAAGGCTTCAATTTCAACCATTCCTACATGATAAGTGCACGGATAGTGTCGAACACAACACAGAGGTGGGTCAATATAATTTAGGGAGACCCAAAGAGGGGTGGTTTACCAAATCGTATGCTTAGTGAACTCAAAAGCTGTGTAGCACATTCGGAAGAAGAATTCAAACCTCCATTTCATCTGAAGAATGGTGAGGAGGGGTATCCTATTGCAATCAAGAACAAACCATCTCCATATTATGTGCAGAAATCACCAATCGAGTCTCGCTCGCTGCAGTCTTCTCCTTCCCCACTGCCAAAAAGAAATAGCACTTGAAGACAGCTGGGTTCGGTGACTCCACCTACATCACAGAGCCTATCAGTTTGCACGAGAAAAAAAATATGTTGTGAGAGAGGAAAACAAAGAGAAGAAGACATGCAATAGAACAACAGCAACGCAAAAGAGCAAGTTGGAAGCTTGTTTTATGCGTTGGAATAGTCGAGGGAGTGAGTCGTTTGATCTACCCGTGACTCTAAATTCCTTTATGTTGAATTGAAGAAACAGCTGCTATTAAGTAATGGAGACAGTTCTGATATGCTGCCCATATTCTGTAGGACCATGCTTTGACCATCGTCGAGCAAGTAATCTCATTGGAAGGATTCCTACCATATAGATTTACTTCCACAGAAGATGTCAGATAAAACTTTTGATGCATAATAGAAGCTCAAATATGTCGTCAACATGCAGGTGTTTTCACCCCTTTCTTTCTCCCTCTCATCCTCCAATTTTCTCTTCTGTTCCAGAAAAGCAGGTGGCGCAAGGAAGGGGGGTTGTGAATGCAACCTGTAGAGGCAATAGGGAAGAAACAAAGCAGACACTATGTTCTATCAGTCAAAAGGGATAGAAATGACGAGATTGAAGGCTTGGCACTGTTACAGGTTGCTCGAAGATGCTCACAGCACATAGATGACCATCTCACTTGACTAATAAATGCGATACACTTGGAAAATATAAGATTTTGGCCCCTCAAAGTCCAAACCTAAACCGCTCTTATTGTGCGCGATATTAAAGCCTCGATTCGATTAGGTCAATATGAAGGTGTTTCTTTGAAAAGCTAAAGGGGATGGAGTTTTGTGTCATTCCATGTGGAAACCACCCCAGCTGGTGTGGGCCCATACAAGTCATGCTTGTGAGTGAGCCCCAGAAGCCGAGAAAGATATTGGGATGGGGCGCTCTGATGCTTGTCACTGAAACAAAAAAGGGGTGCATGCATACAAGGACAAAACTAACACCCATAATTGAATGGTGACTGTGGAGCCCCAACCGCTACCTTTTCCCAAACCAACCCACACTCTCTGATTTGATGACACCATCCCCTCTCCTCCCAAACCCCATCTGCTATGATACCCTGCAATCACTCCAAATCTTCCCTCTCTCTCTCTCTCTCTCTCTCTCTCTCTCTCTCTCTCTCT